AGCTCTTTGAACACATAAACATCGTGCTCTTTGAGAAAAAAATATTTTTCACATGTGGAAAAATGTAACAAGAAGGAAATTATGAAAATTGATACTGCTTTTGATTGAAATTATCTTTTTTCACACGTAACAGATTCAGATTTTTTAGTAATTTGGGAATATTTTAGAATTAATACACAAACAAAATTGATTTATTTTGTGACTTTAAATTTGTAAATATTGCGAAACAAAATAGAGCGATATTGCTCCATTTCATATCAATACAAATGAAAAAACAAATGATAGCATTTGGCTCTCTCCAGGACAACAATGACAGAAAACATATCTCCAAAATGAGGGTTCACAAAAAAACACCCTCAATCAATTCCACTAAACTCACTCTCTTGTCTGCCCTAATTAAGTCACATGGGTTCAAAGCGTATTTCTTCTGCTCAGTCATCACCATCGATTCCACACGTGAACAATGTTTTTTATCTCATTTGGCACGGTAACCTCAATCAGGTGTGAGAATTGGCAGGCACTGTAGAACAGGTACGTGTAACGCAACTGGAAAAACTCAAGAACGTTTCTGGAACTGGTCTGTTCTGAATTTAGCTACTCCCAGAGAGGAAAGACTAAAAATATTTCATCATAAGTGTACTATTTTCTGCCATCTAAATAAAAGACTATTCCACACTTGTTGATACCAGCCCAACCTCATGTTTATATTTATCCCGTATTCACCGACATCACATAGTGTTGGATGCTGGCGCCGGCGCCTGTTCTCCACATTGATGGAGGATATACACGTATCTACACCCCAGTCTGGAGGATTTTGCCCTGGGCTCCACAGATTTCTTATAGTTGCCATACAAAACCGGATTTTTTGCATATCTTAGGAGTTCAGCTTACAAACAGGTAAATATGACCTTATACAATATATCTTTTGTGATGATTCATGTTCAGCAGGTTTAGTTTATGCAGGTTCAACATTCTCTGAACCATCGCACTCGGGATGTCGCCTTACTTCAACTGTTCATTACAAATAGGGCTAACACGATGGCAGTTGCAGTTCCCTGACAAATTCTGTACCAAGAAACTCAAAGTGAAAGTAGAACTCGATGAGCCAAGGTAGGGACAATGAATGACTTCAGACCATTATAATGTACTGTGTCGTTAATCAAGACTGCATGCAAGGTGGCACCTGACTTCTAGCTGGTCAGTCTCTCATATTGACACCACCATATATTTCATAAACATCCCTATATCATTCTCATCCCTTCTCAGTTCCAGCAGCCAATCCTCATCCCCTTTTCAGCTCTGAAGTTAAGAGACTCAAGTTCCATAATACTCGAGGGATTCCTGTATAGAACTATTTCATAGACTGGTGAATGCGATTGATACTTGACTTCGAGGAGTATGTCTTAATCCGACTGTTGAATACGACTCATACTTCATTTCAGGGACGATGATTAATCTAAATATGTTACTCTGCATATGGTGTATACTAAGTGACCAACTCACCATGTCTGCCCGGACACTCCAGCATATATCTTAACTTTCTTATCACCATGTTAAAACCATGATAAGATACACTGTTCTACCTGGTGAATAATGAGAACACTAGTGACATGTCATGTTATTCCAGCTCAGTGCAAAGAAGTGTGAGTGTATGTTGACACAGAAACATTTCACCTATGACAAATAATGTGAAATCCAATTACAAGAACCATAAATTCCATTGAAAATTCTGACATGTATAATGGCATAGAATTGTGAAGGGGAAGAATGGCAGTGCCTCCTACAAGACCCACATCAATGTGATACCGAGATATGTTACCATTAAAAACCTGACAAAGTAGACACAACTTATGGATAACAACTTCTTTAATACTGTAAAGGCGACGTTTCGGTATAGATCCTTATACCGCCATCTGTCAACTTCTAAGTAATGCCTATCAAACAATTCAATAACAACCTGTGCTACACTTGACCCTATATATATTATTAATTTGCTATGATGATTGCACGATGCCCAATGAACAAGGAAGCCAGGGGAATCAATGAATGGCCTTAAATGGCCTTAAGCCCAATCCCTAAGTAGCAATGTTCATATAAGGACAATTGTCTTCCATCGCCATAGCTCCAGTGGACAGCCTCCTCTCATTACCAACTACAGCAGCAACAATTTCATCCACGCCTGGACACATTGAAACGTTAAATTAGATCTTTCAATAATAGCTAAAAACGATAGTGTGTGTGCATTATATAAATGTCATACATGTAATATAAAACATATATATCACATAAATAATAACTGTATTTCATGTTTGACTTTGTATCACCGTCACTCGATGCAACACAGGGGGAATATGACACATAAACCACATCTTGTCTTCTGTTTAGCTCACAAAGTTGTCACTAACTATACTGCACCAGAGAAATGTATGTAAAAGGTTAACCATAGTGATTCTTAAGGAAGTGTTAGGAAAATGTGTCATATCTGTGTCAAGTGGAGCTACAGGCTTTGCCATGCATGAAGGATGTACCCAATACCCTGCACGGATCAGTCAGAGTCAGTCAGGAAACACAACAAAGCCGATCAGCATGCTAAGAACTCCTGTATTCCCAGAAATAGTTGTATGTGTACATCTCATTAGCTTCCACGTGGGACAGCAGAGTGAGTGAGTGATTTGTCATTAATGCATTTCTTTTGGTTGACTAAAATCAATACCATCTCGATATGTGTTTGTCTAAAGAGTTTGGTGTTATGCAATGCCTCTATTCTCAATATTTATAATCACCAAAAAAATATTTTTCAGATTAAAAAGAATCTGCTTTTCTGAAGTTGATTCTTTCAAAGTATTAAGTCTGACCTTTGAATAAAGTAAATAAAAGCAGTATATGATATGACTTGCTGCCACTTGCATCCCCAAGTACTCAGCCTTCCACCAGAGAACACTACCAATACCTCCTTTCTCTGATTTCCCTAATTCCACTGCTATATTTCCCCCTTATTCCAATGCATTATTTCCCCCATTTTCCACAGTAATGTTTCCGAAATATTCCTCTGTAATATCCCCCCCTTATTCTACTGTCATGTTTGCCCTGTATTCCACAGTAAAATTTCCCCACATTCCACTGCAAAATTCCTCCCTTATTCAACAGCTATATTTCTCCATATGTCACCGCTGTATTTGTCCATTATTCCATTCCTGTATTTCCCCTTACCTCACTGCTGTAGTTGTCTTTTATTCTGCTGATATATATCTCTCCTTCTCTCACTGCTGTAGTTCTCCATTTTTCGACCCCTGTATTTCCCCAAATCTCACTGCTGTAGTTCTCCATTATTCCACCCCTATATTTCTCCTTATCTCACGGCTGTAGTTCTCCATTATTCCACCCCTGTATTTCCCCTCATCTCACTGCTGTAGTTCTCCATTATTCCACCCCTGTATTTCTCCTTATCTCACTGCTGTAGTTCTCCACTATTCCACCCCTGTATTTCTCCTTAACTCACTGCTGTAGTTCTCCATTATTCCACCCCTGTATTTCTCTTTATCTCACGGCTGTAGTTCTCCATTATTCCACCCCTGTATTTCCCCTCATCTCACTGCTGTAGTTCTCCAATATTCCACCCCTGTATTTCTCCTTATCTCACTGCTGTAGTTCTCCATTATTCCACCCCTGTATTTCTCCTTATCTCACGGCTGTAGTTCTCCATTTTTCGACCCCTGTATTTCCCCTTATCTAACTGCTGTAGTTCTCCATTATTCCACCCCTATATTTCCCCTTATCTCACTACTGTAGTTCTCCATTTTTCCACTCCTCTATTTCTCCTTATCTCACTGCTGTAGTTCTCCATTATTCCACTCCTGTATTTCCCCTTATCTCATGCTGTAGTTCTCCATTATTCCACCCCTGTATTTCTCCTTATCTCACTGCTGTAGTTCGCCATTATTCCACCCCTGTATTTCCCCTTATCTCATGCTGTAGTTCTCCATTATTCCACCCCTGTATTTCCCCTTATGTCACTGCTGTAGTTCTCCATTATTCCACCCCTGTATACCCCCAAATCTCACTGCTGTAGTTGTCCATTATTCCACCCCTGTATTTCCCCAAATTTCATTGCTGTAGGTCTCCATTATTCCACTGCCTTATTGATATTTCCCTTATATTCTATACCAACTCGGCTTGATATGTCTGTGCCTCATATCTTCTGATTTCATGATTAACCTGCAGGTTTCATCAGATAGAGTTTATCTTAGCAATGATATTTAAAAGTTAATACTTTTGAAATATTGTAGTATCATATGTAGAACAACACTTTTAAAAAGGTTCTGTCAGTGTGTTTAAATGTTAAGTGATTAGATGCATTGTATAGTGTCTGGGCTAACAATTAATAATAAAAACCTTTCACTGATAGAAGTGAATATGTGCTTCTGTGAATATTAAGTGAACAATTGGCACTGTAAAGAGATGATTCTGTAGCTTAGAATCCAACCCCAAAAACCTCATACCAAAGAAAATACATCAGCTCATTTCAGTCTCATTTGTCTGTATGAGACAGCGCAATATGCTACTTCCCTAACACACGCAATGATTTAATGATAATTGTCTAACATGAATACATACATAGAGCATACACTCAGACTCCATCTTTAAAAAGGAGACAAACTAAACTGGGCATTCAATCAAACCAATCTGTGATTTTTTTTTACGGATTTTACAGATTTGTGAAAGTACAAAATATTATTTTCAATTAAAAGTAGAGTCATTTCAAATTGTCACTTACAACCAGTTTGTTTTTATCCTCTTTACAAGGAAAAGTATTAAAAAAAAAAAAACAGGCTTAAAAAATAACAGGCATTTTGAAAATGATATCTTGCAACGTCTTAATTACAAGTAGAACTTCACCCATAATATTTTTTCCTAAAATTCAGTTTAGACTACTGCATATGGGCTTACAGCAAGAAACATAATTGGATCGGCTATTCATTCATGTAAACAAGTGCACCTACCAGGAGACGAAGTTAGTTAGACAGAAACAGTAGATTCTGACAGCATACAGCAGGCATCAAACATGGGAGGTAACTCGACTGTATGGGCGATCTGAAATAAAGGATTCAAACATTAGCAGGAATTCATTGGTTCCTACTTTAGTCATACACACCGACATACAGACCGACGTAACAGGTGAGAGTGCAAACAGCTACAGCATCTTATTGGACATGATTACATGTTTCAAAAACACTTTTGGGATGTCATGCCCTACTTCCGAAGTTCAACCCCCCTATGAACATACAGCTACCTTGACAACTATCTTTGACATTCGAATCCTGGATGCCTGACAAGTACCCTGACAGTCCTTGATGCCTACTCTTGACAAGTACCCTGAGTCCTTGATGCCTACTCTTGACAAGTACCCTGACAGTCCTTGATGCCTACTCTTGACAAGTACCCTGAGTCCTTGATGCCTACTCTTGACAAGTACCCTGAGTCCTTGATGCCTACTCTTGATAAGTACCCTGAGTCCTTGATGCCTACTCTTGACACATACCCTGACAGTCATTGATGCCTACTCTTGACAAGTACCCTGACAGTCTTTGATGCCTACTCATGACAAGTACCCTGACAGTCCTTGATGCCTACTCTTGACAAGTACCCTGAGTCCTTGATGCCTACTCTTGATAAGTACCCTGAGTCCTTGATGCCTACTCTTGACAAGTACCCTGACAGTCCTTGATGCCTACTCTTGACAAGTACCCTGACAGTCCTTGATGCCTACTCTTGACAAGTACCCTGACAATTCTTGATGCCTACTCATGACAAGTACCCAGATATTCCTTGATGCCTACTCATGACAAGTACCCTGACAGTCCTTGATGCCTACTCTTGACAAGTACCCTGACAGTCCTTGATGTGTATTCTTGAATAGTACACTGGAAATCCTTGACGCCTACTCTTGACATCTTCTCTAATATACATATTCAAAGCCTAACAGGCAACAGCCAAGACAGCACCTACTGAAAGCACCTTCTACTCCAAACTTCTCCCAGTATCTGCTGCTTTGAATTAGTTAATTCCTCTGAAGTAAAAGCCAAGCAGCAGCAGCAGCAGCGGCAAAGACATCAACACCATAGCATAGTGTTATTTCTAGCATTATTTCTTCGTTGACTGTTGTACAAACATGTTGAGGTCTACCATGAACCCAGTCGGGCAGTAACCTTAGGTGGAACACAAGCTGGGTCTCACCAAGTACTCCGACAGATGTGAGTACGAGCAGTAGACAAGGCGTATCATCCCTGTGTTGCAGCCCAGTGCATTGCTCTGTACCTAGTCCTGCTTCAGTAACAGCAATGTACTCCAGCAGCAATGGTATGACTACTGCCACACAAGCATGTAACCTCCACAGCGTGTTGCTGCCTCTGTACACCCAGCACCTGTCAGTGTACGGCAAGCCCCAGGTCCCCATGATGTACAGTAAACTACGGTTATAACGAACTCAAAGGGATGACTAATTTAAGTTTGTTATAACCGTAGTTCATTATAAGCATACGTACTGCATATATACAGCAAATGGAGGGACCAGAAAACAGTGTGCTATATCCGTCAGTTTGTTATAAGTGTAGTATACTGTATATAGCAATCACATAATTCTACCTGTCCTGGTCACCAAGCACACTCTTTACATCTCACTAGTATATTAACCTTTGGTTAGAATTCTTATTTCCAAGACGAAATCCAACTTGTTATTTTTGTCCTTGCTGTCTAGTCAATATTGGTCCATTGTTTCAGATATATGAAATGCTTTCTCTCTTCTCATTTACTCATACTGCTGTTTTGGTAGTTCAAGAGACATTTCGGAATATGTTCATAAATCAACACAATCATTGTACTATGACCACCATGTGACGGAGTCAGTTGATACCGACAGCTAATGTGTACCATGATACATAACCTCCAGCTATCATATACGATACAAAATATTCCACATGCATCTGATATTGCATACTACTGTAATACGTACAGTATCCCACCCATGTATAATACATTGTATCACATACTGTTGGTATTGTTACACCTCAGACCAATGACTAAGGCTGCACCTCACACTATGTAATCAGATAATTGTAAAAGTGGGAAAAGTGAGGACATGATCTTCCCCCCACCAGCACAGTGGCCGCGATGCTGCTGTTGGAGCATCGTCTGCTGCAGTAACAGATGGGAACTAATTACAGAGGGAGATACCCCATCAATCTGGGGCTGGCAACGGCAGGAACGGCACACGCTACATCCAGGCCTCTGTTCAAGGGGAGACCTTGTTCTATAATCTGTTCCACACAACCAAGATTTGTCTTACAGGACTCCTCCAGATTCAATCCTCATTTACTGTCAAAATAATAGCATACTCTACAATGTTTCTCAAACTATGTAGAACTATAAAAAATATTTCAAAACACAAAAGGCTTATAAAATAGACAGAAACTAAAACATGTAAAAAAACAACAAATTGACCACATTCATATATAACAATTCACAGTGTGGAAAGTTTTGTTCAGGTGACCAGGTTTCAGGTGTCACAGCCAGTGAACCCATCCTCCCATTTCTCCAACCAGGGCAACAAAGATTGATACAACTTTGGGCCACCCATGTTCCCTGGGCAGCACAAAACAATTACTTAAATCCCAGATCAATGCTCAACAGTAATATTCACTCAGATCTTCCACATCTTCAACATAACTCAAAACCCCAACACATCACACTTTGTCATGATTTGCATTTGTGACCAACTTTTCATAACCATTTGAACAGCATTGATTTATCATCAGCCTCAAACTTTCTACGGAGGTTTCTTCCGAGTTCCGATCTTTGGAGAATGTGACCTCTGTGAAGTGATGTTCTTTTTCAAGGGCCATTAAAAACAATAACTTGAAGAATTAGTTCTGTCTGTGGCGGGGTGCCTGCAGCGTATTACCATTCATAATGAATTTATCTCTCACAGGAAGTGAGAAGAGGATCACATTGTTTAACAAAGTTTTACAGACTAACTTTACTGGGTCATTCTGAGCAAGAGTAGTGGGCTTTCATGCCACTGAATAGGGAGCTGAACACATCCATCTGTATTTAAACTGTTATCCTGTTGAAATGTGTTCGTCATTTCTTGATTCATAGAATGTTTTGGCTTTCATATATATATTGTCAGATTGATTTAACATTATCATAGCAGCTCTTGAAATAATATTTTTAACAAATATACCCATAAAATATGTCTTTAGAATTTGTTTCAAACATGGAACTTTTTATTTTTGAAAGTTTAGTTTAGGCTTGTATGTCATTTCACAACTGCTAAAGCAACTCACTTGTAACCACGTCACATGCTCGCAATGAGAGCTCTTGTCCTGTCATCTCCAAATAATGACACAGTTCATAACCAGAATGAAACATAAAAAGTTGATGTTCTGATCATGAACAAATTCTTATTTTCTTTTCAGAGAATATAATGTTCGTTCAAAGATTCACATGATGTAAATATCACTAAACTGGTTACTGATACTGATGCAAGAGGATGAAACTGATGAACAAAGCACACACACACACCACACACACACACCACACACACGCACGCACGCACGCACGCACGCACGCATGCACACACACACACACCAGACTGCACCACACACACACACACACACACACACACACACACACACACACACACACACACACACACACACACACACACCAACCACACCACACCACACCACACACACACACACACACACACACACACCAACCACACACACACACCACACACACACACACACACACACACACACACACACACACACACACACAGCCCAGTCTACAACAAGTGGGGAACAATCACTCGTCTTCCACCATTAAAGTTCAACTTTAACTGAGTAGACTCACAGGAAATGATGCAAACTTAGGCTGGGTCGGAAGTTGGTGACGTATTGTCAACGACCACAGCCCGCGGGATATTTCCTATTACTATTTTATATATCAGGAAACGAGGGACAGTCATTCACTTCCTTGTGTAACTACCAGCAGCAGTACTACCAAACTCACGATCCTTCTCCCACACGCAGGAACATCACCGTCATTATCTGTATCATCACCGTCACCAACTAAAACATCATTCTCATCAACACTCATACATTTCATCCATACCCTATAAACAAAGCTGAAAACACCACACGACAATTCCTAATCATCATCATCATCATCATCATCATCATCATCATCTGTGTAGGCTGAGGCATAAACAACCAAAATAACACAATACTTAAACAAAACTAACCCAACTTCACTCAAGAGTTACACTGAATGTGTTCTACTCCTGCCTCCACCTGTGAATCAGCAGTGACACAGAGTTGAAGAAAGGTTCTTCTGTCCATTATATTGATGTTGTTTTAAAGCTTCATCATGACAAACACAGACACAAAACAAGGCATGTTGGCCTTCTAATAGTCTGTCATAGAGACCCTGAAACAAATATATCCAATACAACCCAGGCAAGTCTATAATGTTTGGCAAGTCTAGATGAGACTCTGGGCTCCTTTTTATTATATTTTATAACTATAATTCAACAACTGTTTTTTTCTGTATAATATGTTCATTTTAGAAAACTGGATGTTAATCTAGCCTTCTGCCTTCATGAACCATGACCTATCTACCTATCTATCAAACGATCTACCTATCGTCCATGGGGAGAAAGTTTCATATTCCACACCAGTATCCCATCTAGCCCTAGTGTAAATCCTATTTTAAAATCATTTTCACAAAAAGAAGACACTCAGACAGGTCTTTATTAAATCACCGTTTTAGCATTATTTAACTCAAAACCATTGGCGCCAAGTGCAGTCCATGACATGAGACCTTGGTAACACTACCAGATACCCTTCACCCATCTTCAGTACCAGTTCCATATACAGGTGGGAGTCAGTGCGCGTTAAACAACTATCCCTCCACTCAATCACTGACGCAATTCCCTGACAAACCTGAAGTCCTTGGCATTGGGCTGTGGTAACCTTATCAGACACCTATCTTTCTGCCTCCTCCTTCCACACATTCAATTAACAGGGGGA